TGATTAATCTCATTAAATTCCTGATCGTTTATAACATCATTAAACGCTCTTTCAGTAGGCACAACTTTGTAAATTTTATACTTTCTGAGAAAATCAAAGTTCCGATTTAGCAAGAGCCTCGATTTATTTGCTGTCCAGTGTAATATATTATTTAGGTATAATATCTATTTACTATGAAGATAATTCAACTCGGCCCTCTACACTGCATTTCCTATAGTAGTTATCTTCTAAAATCCTGATTCATAAAATCACTTGTTGCCACTTGCAGCGGTTTAAAATAAGGGTAGTTTATTTTCGGAATGCATCTACGCCAGCTGGGGCGGAACACTAAATCTAAAATAGTTCATAGTTTTAGTCTACCAAGCTCTTTGGAACGCCAGGCAGCTGCGCCATCAGTTGATAAATGTACAGAAAAGTACATATAAGTTACCACAAATTGTAAAAATATATCAAGTGAAGTTCACTTCAAGTATGATAAAGCTGAAAGTCAGCTAGAGAAAGTGTTTTGGCTAACTTGACGGCGAAACGCACATGAATCAATCCTGACCAAGCTTGGAATAAAAATCGCTTTTTCACCTTGTACCGACAACGTATTATTTCGACCACATAGTACCTACGCAGAGGTGACGGAAATTTGGAAAAACTTGGTATAGTTAGGAACAACACAGTTGTCAACATATCGCGCGGTCGTTCTCCAATAAGATGAACTAACTAAATTATAGACTCGTCCTCATCAATTTGTACGGTTCTAAGGCCGTGGACACAGATCGTTCGCTCCAGAAGAAACCCTAACGCTGACCACGATACAAGGCCCGTATTATAGAAAGATTCTGAGTGATTGATCTAGTCTTGATCATAGTTAGAAAGGGATGTCGCTATATATGTATCTAACCGTGCGGTGACGGAGAAAGAATACAACTCGCCGCCCCTTTTCTTCCCGTGGGTGTCGTAAGAAGCGACTAAGGGATGTCGGAGCTTCCATCCGCTCTTCTGGTGGTAGGGTGCCTAACACCCGCCTGGTTTGTTACCACCGTGCGCATGGTGAAAAACCCGTGAAGTGCTTCTCGCGCGTTTCGGGGTCAGCCAGCGTACAACCAGTGCTCGAGTGGAAGTTGTCGCGAAGGATACGGTCCAGGGGAGGCATCCGTGGAACCGATGCCGGGAGGACTGCATCTACCCGTCGGCCAGGGAGACCCGTAGAAACGGCTGTCCCGCTGGCCGCCCGTGGCAGTACAAAGGCCCAAGTGTTCCTAACCAGTTCGCGAGGCTGCCCCATCATGTCACGCATAATCTCGGGGTGGACCGTCGTGCCGGTTGGTGACCGGGGCGTGGGGTCCCGGCGGCCACTCCCGGGGGGGGTGCGGGGGCCCTTCCGTCCGGCGGGTCGGCGCATCTCCTCTGCAGGCAGACAATCGGGAAAACAAATCTCCCCTATTCACCCGGACTCTTCGCGACGGCGTCCGCTCGTTTTCGCGTCTCTTTTTTTTTCACTTCCATCATGGTAGCCTCAATTACAAAGTTTGGACGTACAGTGGTGCACATCCCCACGCCTTCAACGCTGTTTGAGGTCGAGTTCTGCAACATACGCGGACTCCACTCTAACCTCAACGCTGTCCACCACCATCTCGAGACAGCACGGCCAGCATTGTTGTTCCTGACGGAGACACAAATACTTCCGCCTGCTGACACAGGCTACCTTAATTATCCCGGCTACGTGCTTGAAGAGTCCTTCAAAGCGAAAGCCGGTGTATGCCTGTATGTTCGGGCGGATGTTTGTTGTCGCCGTCTGCGCTGCTTGGAAGATCCCTCCTTCTCCATGCTGGGGGTACACGTCGACTCTGGCCCCCTGGCCAGTTCTACGTGTGCCTCTACAGATCCCACACCGGCGATGTTGAGACAACTCGACTTTTTGAGCACCTAGTCGGGCAGCAGATGACGCGCAGGAACAATTTCCCAATGCAGAATTGGTGCTTTTGGGGGACTTTAATGCTCACCACAATTTGTGGTTAAGTTCTTCCAAAACTGACCATGCAGGGATCTCTGCTCACACATTCGCTCTCACGCATGACATGAAGCAACTGGTTGATCAGCCCACCAGGATCCCAGATATTCCAAGTCAAGCGCCCTCTTTACTGGACCTTCTGCTCACGACTCATCCACAGGGCTATCAGGTTGTGGTAAGAGCCCCCCTGGGCTCGTCCGATCACAGCCTGATATCTGCCAAAGCACCACAGGCCAAGCCTCCGCGTCCAGCAGTGGTCAAGCGCCGTATCTGGCATTATGGGTCGGCAGATTGGGACGGTATGTGTGATTACTTTGCGTCCGTCCCTTGGAAGCAGCGCTGCTTCAGTGACAGGGACCTATCGGGCAGTGCCGTTGCCATTACTGACGAGATTACAATGGGTATGGAATACTATATTCCTCATTCTGATCTCATCAGTAAGGGCACACGTAACCTCTGGTTCAATCACAACTGTGCTGAAGCTGCTTCGCGTAAGCAAGCGGCATATCGTGCTTGGATCAGAGGCCGCGCTCTCAAGGATCCCGGGGTCGATTCACTCAAAGCAGCTTACAATTCTGCTTCCAAGGCCTGTAAGAAGGCTTATATCAGAGCGGATGCCCAGCGTGTTGCACGAGTTGGCCAGGAACTTATAACGCATCCTGCGGGCTCCCGTAGCTACTGGCGTTTGGCCAAGGCCGTGCAAAAAATCTTCTGCCAGCCCTCGCTGCCACCTCTGAGATGCCCAGACGGAACACTAGCTCATAAGCCGCAGGAGAAAGCCGATTTACTGGCAAAACTCTTTGCGGCTAACTCCCGAATCGATAATTGCAATGCACTGCCACCATCATTACCTCACTATGGCACAACGATGCCTGATATTAAAATCAGGCAGCGTGAAGTTCGTGCCGAATTGCAATCACTCGACGTCCGGAAAGCTAGTGGACCTGATGGCATCCCAGCAGTTGTACTTAAAAAATGTGCAGCGGAGTTGTCTCCCGTGCTCACGCGCTTGTACCAATGCTCGTATTCTTTGGGGCGTGTGCCTGAGACTTGGAGAAATGCTAACGTGCAACCGGTGCCCAAAAAAGGGGATCGCTTAGACCCGGCAAACAACCGACCAATAGCAGTCACCTCAGTTTTATGTAAAGTTCTAGAAAAGGTTCTTAATAAACATCTGACCCGCTACCTAGAGGATCACTCCCTGATTAATGATCGTCAATATGGATTTAGACCGAAACGATCGACGGGTGATCTTCTAGCGTACTTAACTCATATCTGGGGTGAGGCTATCGACAAGCGTGGCGAGTCGTTGGCTATCAGCCTTGACATTGCCAAGGCGTTCGACAGGGTCTGGCACAAAAGCCTTCTCTCCAAGCTTCCGGCATACGGTCTGCCAGCCCAGTTCTGTTCTTGGGTAGCTGACTTCCTGCATGAGCGTAGAATTCGTGTCCTTACGGATGGTAGCAGTTCGCGGTTCATGTCAGTGAATGCCGGCGTTCCCCAGGGCTCCGTCCTATCCCCCACTCTCTTTCTCCTGCTTATCAATGACTTGATTCCTCTTGGGAATATTCATTGCTATGCAGACGATAGTACAGTGCATGCGGGGTATCTCGGACAAGCAGCGGCTGGGCAGGCAGTAACCAAGGAGAAACGGGAAAATCTTGTCATTGAACTCAATCAGGCTTTGGACCATATTTCCGAATGGGGTACCAGGAACTTGGTTGAGTTCAATGCCAAGAAAACTCAGGCTTGCGCTTTCACGGCAAAAACATCGCCATTCCTTCCCCTTCCATCTCTTCAGGGCACAACACTACTACTGCAGAGCAACATTTCCATGCTCGGTATGGAAGTTCGCTCAGACCTGAATCCAAAGGACTACATCGAAACCGTGATCAAAACAGCTTCACGCAAACTCGGAGTCCTGAACAAGGTGCGGCGTTTTTTCACGCCCGATCAACTGTGCTTGTTGTACAAAACGCAAGTGCGGTCCTGCGTGGCATATATCTCGTACCTTTGGGATGGCTCCGCCAAGTACTTGCTCGATGCTTTGGATAGGTTACAGCGGCGCGCGATCCGCATCATAGGCGATGAGGAGGTGACTAAACACCTTGAGCCTCTTCAATTACGCCGTGACGTGGCGTCACTAAGTGCGTTCTATCGTTTGTACCACGGCGAGTGTTCTGAGGAGTTATTCTCTCTTATCCCACCTTCCCCTTTCCTTCACAGGACCACGCGCGCTGGCCTACGTTGTCACCGTTTTACTGTGGCCACAATTCCAACGCGTGCAAAGAAATTTGGTGACTCATTTCTTTGTCGCACTATCCGTAAATGGAATGCTCTGCCCGCTCACGTGTTCCCTCCCTCTTACAACCTGGGATCCTTTAAAAGCGGCGTGAAGAAGCAACATGCAGGCCGGCAGGGTGAGGATGGCTGGTGTGGCAGGTAGAACTGCTGTATCAGCTATCTTCGCGTCTGGACCTCACCTTCACTTAACATCAGGTGGGGTGGAGTCATTTGTCGGACCTATCTATAAAAAAAAAATATAGCACATAGCGATATCCCTTTCTAACTGTACTGTAAAAGATGATTTTTGGGAAAAAAACTATGTTGTGTCTTTTCTCGGGATTCAAACTGAGATAGTTATATATATATATATTTATTTATATATATATATATATTTATTTATATATATATATATATATATATTTATTTATAAATAAATACTAAAATTGATCTTAATCGGTTCGGTAGTGGTTTAAGAGCGAGAACCTAACAGGCCGACGAACAGACGGACACACTTTAGCTTTTTTAATGTTAGTACATATTTTATTTCAATCATACTTTAAAATCACCTTTATCCTAAGATTAGGAAATAATAATAATCTACTAATGTCTTATTCAACTCCATATTATAGATTACCTACTTTCGAAATCAAATCAGCAACTTTTGTAAAATACCTAGGGTATTTAATTAATTCTATTTAATTGCTTCATCATACAAACTTTCATTCCCTTTTTCAATTACTCTTATGCGTCAAAGGGTGGCCTTTGTCATGAAAATCGATTCAGCAAGGTTATGCGTAGGAACCTAACATTCAGACAGACTGAATTTGTATATAAAATATACTGTACATATATTTTTTTTATTTTAAGAAAAACATGCAATACAAAGTTCATGATATTAAGAATTTGTTGCTTTCTTAAAAGAATATACCAGTATAATAATAATAAACACTTTATTGCTCACATACAAAATAAATATAGGTTCGAAGAATACATTTACCAATTATATGGGCAAAGGCGGTCTTATCTCTAAAAGCGACCTCTTCCAGACAACATTCGCAGTATAGGTAAGCTAAACGGAAAAGAAGATGTAGTATGCCCGCAGAGTCGATGAGATTTGTAAATATGTTATGTTATGTTATGTTATACCAGTATGTTATATTTTAATAAATAAGTAAGTTTAATTTAGGTAAATTCGCTGGTTGTCTGCCAGTACAGGCTCTAGTTGTCCAAGTATGCCACCGCTCGTATGTATCAAATCGACGTACTCAGCATCGTCCGCACCCAGTCTACCGACGCGACGGTGCTAACGTTACTGAAGTGCGGCGCGGCAGGGTCCAGGCCCGCTATGCGCCCGATCTCTTTAACAGTCACATGGCGACCCTTTTTTCCAGCTATACTGGATATATGAATACCTAGACTGCCCGAATAATGTGAATTTCGATGGATCTTGCCTGTGTAAAGTATTTGTCTTATTTTTTGTTGTTTGTTTACCTACAGGTTCTCGTTGTCCTAAGATGCCGCTGCTCGTATGTATCACATCGACGTACTCAGCATCATCCGCGCCCAGTCTACCGGCGGCGCTGACATTGCTGAAGCATGGCCCGGCGGGGTCCAGGCCGGTAATGCGCCCGATCTGTTTACCAGTCAGCTGGCGAAACTTTTTTCCAGCTATGCCAGCTATGTGGGCACCTAGGCTGTGCCCGATTAAAGTGATTTTCGATGGATCTTGACCGGCTGCAACAAATATATTTTTTTAAGAAATTAAGAGTTATTTATTACTGATATCGTGCCATTAATACGATTTAAAATACGTTCTGCCTTATTTCATTTTGTTATTTCTGAACGCCTAAGGTTTTCAAATGCAAACAAACAAATCACATTAATTTAATAATGAAAAGAACATACCAGCGCATTTTTATCATTAATAAATATCATGTCAAAATCTTCCATAGAAATAATGAAGCCATCTTCCAATTCGAACTCAATCAGACCTCAAAATCAACCAATCTCGCAACTCCTCCACGATTTGAGATAAAACTCTTTACGAATTAAAAAAGCATGGTTTTGTGAAATAAAAAATAATGTCTCATGGCATAATTTATATCTCAATTCGTGAAGATTTGAGGAACATAATAATGGATTCATTTTCTTACATTGTCGACGGTATGCGATGACGATAAGAGAAAATAAATTATATTTGTGAAACGGAAATTAAATGCGTAAAGTAATCAATCTAAAGGCAGGTAAACTTTATTGAGATGGTATAATAACTGTTATAATTATTTGGGTAGCATCACGGGGTAGCATATCATAATTTGATTCTGGAAAACAAACTAAATTTGAAATATCTACTATTATAAATATATATGAAATTTATTAGCACAGTAATAAAAAATCGATGATATTTCAATTTCTCATAGAATAAAAATGAAATTTTATCTATACATATAAAATAACAAAAAATCAAAACTTTACATTGAATATTTTTTTAAAAGAATACTTCGGATGTGATCTACTATCGATACCGAAGCAAAAAATAAAGTTTTTAGAATTTTTGTCTGTTTATTTGTTTGTGTGTATATATGTCCAGGATAAACTCAAAAAGTACTGCATGGATTTACTTCAAATTTAGCAAGACAATTATTAAGAAGTCGGGTCAACATAAAGGCTACATATTATCACGCTATCACCTACGGGGAACGAGCAGTGAACTTTTATTTCTAACTAACTCCACGCGTACGAAGTCGCGGGCAGCCGCTAGTAACTCATATTATAAAAGTTTGACTTAACACATATTAGTAATTTTATGGAGAAAATTCAATTTTATAATGTGATAAATTTACAATAATGACAATTACTAAAAACCAACCAAAGAATACAGTGAAATTTAGAATGAAATAGGTATTTATTTTAAAACATATCATTTAAATTTTGAAAACACAAAAAAATAGAGGCAACGAAAACTACAGAGCTAATAATATAATAAAAAAACTGGCCAAGTGCGAGTCGGACTCGCGCACCGAGGGTTCCGTACAAACTTTAAAATTTTCAAAAATATTTTTTATTATATATATGATGTAACTAAAAATTTACGGTTTTCGCAATTTTTCCTTTATCTGTACTTTATGAAGTTACTCCGTACCAAATTTCAAGATTCAAGTTCACGGGAAATACCTTGTAGGTTTTGATTCCCGTGCGAGTTTCGAAAATTTGCGGAAATTTATATTAAAATATGGCGGCATAAACGGCGGTATCTTTTGATTGCTTTGGCTTAGAAGTGTGATTTTTTTCACAGCTCCAAGGGACAGTAGACATGAGTATTAGATGTGAAAAACGGTCTTGACGGATGGACGGACAACAAAGTGATCCTATAAGGGTTCCGTTTTTTCCTTTTGAGGTACGGAACCCTAAGAAAACACTACTCTCATGACGTGCGCAGATGTCGAAAATGATACATTTTCCACGAAGGTCGGATCAGCTAATTTATTTATTTTTGGAGAATTAAGGAAAATATCAACAAGAAAGTTGACGAAGATAGGAAGCAGCTAATCAAGTAAGTAAGTAATCAAGAACATTTGTTTTACTTAGGACTGCGGAGATAAAATGCCTTTCTCGACGGGAGTACTCAGACATATCGGTACAATATGTAAGACTACGGATAATATTCCAATGTAACCTACTCAGAAACTACTTAGTAATTAATCCGATGTAGCAACTAACAAGGGACGACTTTTTCGGCACCTCCTAACAGCCTTCTTGGGATTATAGCGCTCGAATCTCTTAGGTATATTTGATTCACTTTTACAGCAATATATTTCGCTCTACAATAGAGACACCAACAAATTAAACATTACCTAAGCATCTGTGAAATGCTCGTTTCGTCGAATGCCGTCTCTCAAGACGAGATAAAAGCAATACCGTTCCATGTTCGGACAAATAAACCACATTCATCCGAGGTTCTACGAGTATGTAACAATTTCGACAGTTTCGGTATTTTGTTTACGTAATATAATCGCTACCAGCCGTTGTTCAAGAAAGCTACAAGGATTTAACGCAGTCGGGCGTCAGTTAACACTACAACAGATTTCCGGAGTTCTATTTCTATAGATGTTCTTCAATGTACAATAAATTAAATTACTGTGTATTTACCTCAGTTTTATTACTTGTTGTGAAAGCGCACTTTAAACTCAAGTCGAAATATTGTTTTTTTCATATTAGATGCACTACACGACTTTTGAATCGTCAATCAATCAACATCATGAATTCGTCTATAAAGTAGGTACGTCAATACTCGATGTCTGTACTTTGGTAAATTTAATTAGCAGAGCTTCAGGATTAGTGCACGACAAGGCAAAGATCAAATTATGGGAATTCCTGTTTGTGCGGTTACGTCACCCTGTGTGGCTTGTGGCTTGAACTGCAGTTTGACTTGTGAAATCTTAAAGCCAGTCAGATTTAACTTAGATTGAGTTACGTAAGGCCAATATTATACTGAGCAATATTTAGTATTTGAATATTAAATACATAACTTTACCCTCAGCAAGCTGGCAAGGCATTAAAGGTGCAGCTCTCTGCTGAGACCAATATATTAATACTTGATGAACTCCGTGGCCGAGTGGTATGTACATCGCTTTTCAAGGTGTCGCCTACTCAATGGGTTCCACTTTCGGTGGGGTAAATGTTTATATGATGAATATGTGCATTTGTAGTTAAGTCATGGATATTTATATGTATTTCTAGATAAATATATTTATTTATGTACCAATGAATTCTACCCGTAGCCCAAGTATCCCATAACTCCAGGGTAGCCATCCGTCCTATTTTTCGGGGTGCAATGGGACTTTCTGGATAATTTCTATGAAGAGTCCTGGGTTTTTATAGCGACGATTTACTAATTCTAGGGAAGAGGGTGCAAATCTGGGCGCAAGATTTTTATTACGCCCATGATTGTTACTCTGTGTTACTGTATTCTGTTTTAAATACGAATTGGTTTCTCAACATCAAATCTAACTTTTTTTTAATTATGGTTGGCAATAACCCTACATAATACAAGCCTTGCATTACGGTGGTTAATTTGGGGCTAAGCGTAATTTAAATATTTCCCTAACCTTAATATCTTATGGTAGGTTCATTAATAAGTACAAGGTTATATTTAATAATTGTTTTGTCCTAACTCTAAAACACAACTACCTACAATCTTTTCAAGCACGCACTTTATTCTTCCTTGCAACCCAATACGTACAACTATGGCATTTATAAATAAAATTGCGTCATTTATCATCAGCCTATTAGTGTCCCCACTGCTGGGGTACAGGCCTTTCTTGTGGAAGGTATTGGGCCATGACCCACCATGCGGGCCCAGTGCGGTGGGGCTAACGATTGCAGATATAGCCGAAACCAACGACTTAGCAGAAGCACGCAAGCAGGAATTTGATATAATAAAATTTTGGTCACCCATCTAAAGACAGACCTTTGCGAAAGATGCTTAACTTTAAAAAAATGGTGTCGTTTTAAGAAACCACGATGCATTCAAGTGAAACTTTTATGTTGTTTCACATTGCCTATTTTTTTTTCTGATCGTAGACATTTAACTGAACATTTTACGCATAATAGTGCGAAATTTTCCGACACTCAGTAATTATACAAAATAAAATACTTTTATAAAAAGGGTTAATTAAAAAATCAAAAAACCCGACTGCTAAAAAATTAAATTACCTTAAATAAAAACTGAAAAGAAAAAACAAGTCCAGTAGTCTATAATTCTGTTAAGTAAGAAACAAAGCTGCTTTAACAGTCGGGACCCATTACAGATTCTAGAAAGGATCCTTTTTTTTCAATAATGGAATTATTTGCAGAATTATCGTTTATAATTACAAAATCAACATTAACGTAAGCTTATTAATAAAGGGAGGGTGTTCATTAAGTACGTATCTACTAGCGAATAATAGGTTATTTCTTATTATGTTAATTAGCGCCTTAGTAACATGAAGTAACATCGTTAAAGTAACCTTTTAAAGCAATAAAATTCTGTTTATCATAAAATTATAAATACCTATTATAATATTTTTTTTATCATTTAATAAGAAGGAACTAAATCACATTTTTATTAAAAGTTCTAGCTTCTGCCCGCAACATCTTACCGGATTAACTTCTTCGAGTAGGCCTCATAACTACATTATCAAATACCAAAATTCATCAATATTTCGGCTCCCGCTGTCTACTCCTACACAGTACACCTCGTAATTACTTTGTCATCGCTCATAAGGTTTTAATTATTTATACAAATCACATAGTGTAAGGGTCAAATTTTATAGTCTTTAAATATCAGAAGCGATAAAAGTATTTGTTTTGATAAAAACTAATTAGTTAATACAAAATGTGCATTTTATGAAAATACCCTTTTATTTTCGATTCACTAATTTAGCAGTAATGGCTTACAAATAAAAGATAGACATATGCCGGTACGTTTCTTTAGAACTTTTTAAGAGATACATTTCCACTATACATTTTATTCATGTAACTCTTGGTTTTTCTATTCACTCAATAGCTTTAGTTATCTCATAGTTTTGTTTTGTTTTGTTCTAACAAGTTGGAACTGAGATTGAAAGCTAGAGACAAGACACTACACGTTTTACTGTTTTTTTTTTCTTTTGCTACTATATACCTCTATTATTGTATCTAGTATTGTAGAACTATGTTTGTTAAACTTAATAAAGTTTATTCTATGTATGACA